TTACTTCCTAAACCTCCCTCAATAAATACGCATGCTTTAATAACCAGGGCGCAGCAGCCTGGAGCTGGCTCTGGCTGTGGCCGGCTGAGAACATGCTAAGGAGCAATGAGGTCTCAGTCTAATTTTTTGTTTCTGATCACCCGTGTCACCTTCCTGTGTACGAGTCACCCACCACTGCCGAGGCCGGACCCCGGCACATTCACCCAAACTTCCGGATTCTATTATGGACTGACAAGTTAGTTTATTCTACATGAACCAGTGGCAACCTGGTGTGACAATTGTCTAGTGGCCACCAGGGGGCACTGTGGGCCTATGGAGACCCTGATAACCAAATTGCCCTGGCAGAGTTCAAGCACAGAGGGCATGACTGAGGCTTCCCCTGAGCCCTTCTGAGGGTGAAATCCACTCTCCACCTGACGCCGCCTGGCCCTCGATCTGGGATTAGAAGTAAGTGCAGAGATCTCACCGCCCACTGCGAAAGGCTATAGTTATAAGTCTTTGCATGCAGAGATTTGCATCGAGGTGAATTAAGTCCTCTTTTTGCAAAACCAAAAACCAATAACGAAGAAAGAACAGAATGACCTAAGTAGGTAATGTGGACAGTAATTTCTCACCCACAGCATCTCACTGGGTGTAACTAGCTCTTATAGAACTCCAATACGCCCTCCTTAAAACAAATGAAGTTGCAAGGCCCGGCCACAGTGGGACACACCGCTGGGATGCTGTGCTCTGCAGGCCGGGCCTACGTGTGACTTGCAGGTTTTATTCTGGCCCAACGGACAGCCGGGCGTGTGGTGCGTGGGAGTAACGCTACTGTGTCAGGAGGCTGAGGAGGGGGTCACTAGCTTGAGCCTGGCCTCAGCAACATGGTGGGGTCCTGTCTGACAAGCAAGCCTGGGCATCGTGTCCTCTCTCACACGGAGGCTGAGGCTTAAGGTATAGAACATGGGGAACCCTGTCCTAAAAAATAATTAAGGTGAACAGAAGTTCATTTATTAACAGTAACTTCTCAGGCATTCCTCATGATCTGAGCCTTCGGTGTCAGAACCAGGAATCTCTGCCACGCTGCAGGTCAAAATATTACATTCCTTGATTCCCTGAAAAAGAAAATCTCCTGTAGGCACATGGATATTTCCAATCTTCCTAAGTGTGGAATTGCAGCCTCCCATGCCCCAACATAACTCACGAACCCACCAGAGACTGCACAAGCTCTGCCCAGCCCACCCTGGGACACTCTCCACATTGGAGAAGATCTTGGCCAGACCAGAAAAGATACCCAGGAGCAGCCTGAGCCGTGTGCGCATGAGGGCGTGGGTGCCTGTGAGTGTGTGTGCATGTGAGCGTGTGTGTGCTTTTCTGTGTTTGTTTGTGCGTGTGTGTGCGTGTGTCCTGGGGCAGCACTTTCTCGAATCACACAATAGAGTCTGAGATCCTGGGCACAGGCCTTGGGGACAGGCCCATGGGACACCCTCCTGGAAGCCCAGCCCTTCTCTGCTCAGCAGGGAGCCACCCCCAGCCACAGAAGGAAAGAGGACATTTGCATGAGGAGCCCCTCTCCCTCAGGATAAGAGAGGCCTGGGGGCCCTCCCCAGCTGTGGGCTCAGAAGCAGAGCTCTGGGTTGTCTCCATCATGGCCTGGACCCCTCTCCTGCTCCCCCTCCTCACTCTCTGCACAGGTGCTGTCCCCAGGGCTCAGCCTCACACCACCAGGGCAGCCTGGCCTGACCTTCAGCTCAGCACAGGGGGTGCTGTGGGGTGTGGGGCCCTCTGGGAATGAGACCCTCAGCCTCAAGCTCACCTCTCTGGTCATCTCTTTCAGGGTTTGTGGCTTCCTCTGCCTTGGATCAGCCGCCTTCAGTGTCTGTGGCCCTGGGAGAGACAGTCAGCCTCACCTGCCAGGGAGGAGGCCTAGGAAATTATAAGGCTCACTGGGAGCAGAAGAAGCCAGGCCAGCGCCCTGTATTGGTCCTCTACGGTGATAGCAACTTGGCCTCAGGGGTCCCTGACCGATTCTCCGGCTCTCGCTCTGGTGACACAGCCACTCTGACCATCACTGAGGCCCAGGCTGAGGATGAGGCTGACTATTACTGTCAGACATTGGACCCCAGTGGTAAAACTGTCACAGTGACACAGGCAGATGGGGAAGTGAGACACAAACCCTCTTCCCCGCCTAGTTCACACTCTCTAAGCAGCCCCAATGGGAAGAGGCACACAGCCAGAAGGGTCACCTACACCTGAGCCCCCAGGCAGCCCTTCCCTTCTTCCCCCTCCAGCAGGCTCTGCAGAGGGTGTCCGGAGTGGATTTAGTTTTGGTAGCACCTGACTGTCCTGGTGATTTGGGGCTTGTGTGTAAGGTATGGACAGAGGACCTGAGTGGAAGCACAGACATAAGGACCCTTCATCCATCATTTCTGTGTGGTGTGAATGGGCCAATCCTTGGTCCACATAGCCTGGATTTGGCTCAGCTCAGCTCAGCTCAGCTCCTGCCGCTGCAGGTTCCACTGCAGCTGGGATTCTGACAGAGCAGCCTGTGCCATGTGCACTGAGGGATCTGCCCAGACCCCTCTGCAGGGCTGACCCCACCCGAGTCAGAGTGAGACTTGGGCCTGATGTGCCTGCTCAGCCCCAGGTGTCCTACACAGGGCGCTGTCCTCATCCCACGGAGTCTCACCTGTCCCTGCATCCTGGAGGCAATGTGTGAGTGGAGCAGCTGCTGACACCCCAGTTACTACTCAGAAATCCCCCCAGCACCCCAACCACATGCACCTCCTGCCCCATCCTTTACCTCATTAGGAAATGCTCTCTTGGCACAGATCTGCTGGGACTCCCAACCATTTATGGCCCACTGTCTTCGCAGACACTCACACACCCCAGACTCTCCCTCAGGGCCTGGACTCAGCTCCTCCACACGCTCCCTATGGCCTGTTTCTTCTTCCATCCTGATGGCAGCCTCAGAGATGCCCCCTCACGGAGGTCCCAGCCTCTGATTGGGACGAACCTTCCTCAGGTGCTTCCTGTGCTCGATCACCTGATTGAGGTCCCACACCAGGAGTTGCCTGGTCTGTGGCTAGAAGACCTTGATTCAGACTCCTTCCTCAGTGTCAGTGTAGCCATCTACATAGGCACAGAGCTGAAGCAAAAGCAAGTGATCTCAGAAGGCTGGTCCGTATAGGAATGACGGCCCCCGCAGAGAGGTGGGGAGCACTAGAGAGGATGTTGCTTCACTTTTCACAGTAACCCTCTGGGAAGCTGTTGTCATCTGTAGTTCATAGAACATGAAGAGAAGCACAGAACATTTTAGACACTGGCCCAGCGAGAGAGTCAGAGTCAAACCCAGCCAGGGTCTGGTTCCAGGTCTCTGAACTTCGTTTTCTGAATTCTACTTTTTGTTGTTTTTATGTTGGTATCTTTTGTTCGAATGGACTTCTATTTCTTAATTCCTTATTTTCCATTACAATGAATTTAACTGAGTTTCTCCACTTAGGTAGTAGTGGACTGTGACATTCTGCTCTTCCAGTTCGACTATCACTCCAAGAAGACGGAAACACCCATGTGCGTCGTGAAATTCTGTATCAGACACACGCAGGGCTCCAGGAACATTTGATGAATGAATGAAGAACCACGAGACTGAGTCCGAGTGTTTCCAAGTTCCTGCATTTTCTGTATAAATTAGAGGGGATTAGACAAATAACATTATACTTACCTTTTTTGGGCCAGGCACCTGAGATTTTTGATCCCCATTTACTCCATGAACAGGAAAAAGGTGTAAGTCCCACTCCACTGTCCACTTTCTACTGAATGAGAAAATTCAGGAGAGGTCACTTGTCTAAGGGCACACTGGCAGCTTGAGAGGTCTGAGAAATTTATTAATATATGTGTGTGTGTAAATATATAAATATAAATGTATAAATATATATGTGTAAATATATAAATATGAAAATATATATACATATGTATTTACTGTAACTTAACATTTACATCTATTCATCTTTAGTGTACAGAGTGGTATTTAAATGCAGGTATAAGATGTGTAATAAGTAAACAAATCAAGAATATAAACCTATTTAGCACCTTCATCATTTAACTTTAAATTTCATTGTGAACATTCAAAATCCGCTCCACTAGGGACCAGCAGTTAGCGACATGGCTATGTCGTTGGACTCCCACATAGTTGACCACGGTTCACGTCCCGGACCCGGTGGCTTAAAACTCACGCCGGGCGCGGGTGCATGCGTACCCAAGATCCCGAGAGGAGAATGGAGGAGAAGGGATTGCAGTGTGGCCATCCCCCCCGGGGGGTGATTTATTGCTTTCTATCTCTCTGTCTCTGTCTTTCTGGCGAGCGCATGCGCCCTGTAGCGAAAACCTCTCCAAAAAAAAAAAAAATCCGCTCCACTGTTCATTCTGGAGGTATGTACAGAATTGTCCTTGATGTTCTTTACTTTGAAATACAGTTCTAAGAAAAATAAGTTGATTAAGAATCAGACAACAAAAAGTCTCATAAAATAATGAGGATGGAGTTTTTAAAACAAAGTTCATCGAAACATAGCCAACGAGAGAAGCATTTGTAGTTTCCAGGGAGAAGAATGTGGGAGATAAGACATTATAGTTTAAAATGATCTGTGGTATCAATCATTGGTCCAGGTAGAGATAGGTGAAATTGTACCTTATAGCTCATCAGGAAGACAGAGAAAAAGAAAACTTTTACTTCCTCACTGTGAGTTCCTGTCAGACTGTAGTACTGTATTTGCATAAAGAAAGAAGTCCTTCAAGAAGCAAAATCAACAGGAAATTGGAAAGAGATGTCGAAAAGTGAAGACATACTAACATCCGTGATTTGCTGATTTATAGGGTTTACAAAGTTCTTGATTTTAACCTTCTTTAAATTAATTTCAAAAGGAAGACTTGCCTACTTTTAACATTTTGGAATTTTCCTCTGTAATCTAATATATACTGAAGGAATAAAAATCAGCTCAAAAAATACTCTGTAAACATTAAACTTAACCTACTTGCTTTTCTTGCTTCTGTACAAAAGCTTGTGCCACCGCCTTGAAAAACAGCCCTGAGCTATGCAAGCCACTGAGGCTTGCTCAGCCTCCTGCATACCAGCTCAGCTCCATGCAGAAAGCCAGATCCCTAAAAATGTATAACCCCCCCCCCAGAAATCAGTACCAGACCACCCTGAGTATCTAACCTGACCCAGTTGCAACATCTGCAAAATACCTTTGTAGCCCACTTGCGTAAATAACCCTCCTTGCCAGAGCCAGCAAAAAAAGATAACCATACTTAAAAAGACCCTTATCTTATTTCCTCATTCCCCACTCCCCTCACCCTTCCAACTTGTGCCTATATAATCTATGTGTTTCTTTTGTTCGGGGCTCCACTTCCCTCTGAGTCTGTTGTGACCAGGAGTGGAGTCCTAGCGCGCTAGCAATAAAGCCCTCTTGTGTTTTACAGCAAGAACTGACTCTTGTGGTTGATTGGGGTTGCCGTGACTCTCCTTGGACTGAAGGGTCACCGGCTATCTGAGTCGGGGGTCTTTCATCACAATAAGCAATGCTTATGATAAATATTTAAGTTGAAACCTGTAGAAACAACTGTCTATCACATAATTGGTGAATTTGTATTTATACCTACTTGTGTGTAAAATAGTTGAACCTCCTTTTACCCTTTTAGTTGGGAAATTTAATCCCAGCATTCAGAGTTTAATTAAAAGTGTGGGCTTGTTTTCTGGTTGTTTTGTGTTCTCATCCTTCTATTTATCTGCCTTTAGTTTTCCTGTAATATTCCCTTCGGTATTTCATAACAAGTTGGTTTCATTTTGGTCAATTCTTTCAGCATTTTTTTTTTTATTTAGGAATGATTTTATTTCTCTTTCTCATTTGAAGGATAATCTTGCTGGGTATAGTAGTCTCTGCTAAATTCTTTTATTATTTTCAGAGATTTCAACATATCTTTGTATTCTTTCCTTGCCTGCATTGTTTCAATTGAGAGGTCCAATGTTAGTCTAATGGTGTAAACTTTGTGAGTACTTTCGCATTTCTCCCTTGTCATTTTTGGAATATTGCAGGACAGGCCCTGCTCACTCTCAGCTCCCCATTCTTCTCTGCCCAGCAGGGTTCCCATTTGCTTCTTACAAATTTGGTTATGATACACCTTGGAGAGGATCTTCTTATGTTTTATCTCTTTGGTGTCCTTTGTTTTTCCTGGATTTGAATGTCTACATGCTTGGCTAATATATCACTGAAGAGATTTTCTATGCCTTTACCTGTCTCTTTGCCCTCTGGAATAATACCTATTATGCAGCTATTCAGTTGTTTAATGATGTCTAGGATTTCCCATCTGTTGTCCTAATTTTTAATAGTTATTCTTCTATTCTTTTCAGTTGTATAGACTGAATCAGAGATTTTGTCTTCCCTAGCATGCAAGTCCCTTGTGAATGAGTAGGGAATTGGAGGGAATTGGAGGAAACTGGTGCAAGAGAGGGAATGAGTAGGTATCATAGAGCTGGCTTGGATTCCAGCTTCTGCTGCACTTTCTACAAAAAAAAAAAAAAGAAAAAGAATGTATACATGAATCTGCACTATAATAAACTCCTGTTTGCTCTTCAGCTGTTTATCTGTCTCTTGTCACAGGGTCTATTCAAACTAAGGTCCCTACAGCACCATCTGTGACACACGGTGACCCTCTCTCTCTGGCCATCTGCTGTCCATGTGAGGTGTCTGGAGGGACAGTCCATGTACCATCCCGTCTGCTCTGGGAAGGCAGCATCCTCTGTGTGCCTGCAGATGGACATCCAGTCAGAGGCAAGGAGGGGCTGGGGGGGCAGGAAACTCCACTCTGGAGGTCTTAGTTAGATTACAGGTGACACAGAGCACACCTGGCACAGATGGAGGCTGGACACCCTGGTCCGCACCCTCTCAGGAGAGAGAAGCTTCAGGTGGCCTGGAGAGAAGACCCTGCTCTGAGTCTCCTTTACCAGTAGGGGGCAGCAGAGCTGCAGCCAGGAGAGGGCTAGGGCTGCCCAGGTGGTGCCTCTGGGAGACCTAGTCCTGGGGTCAGCAGGTGTCCAGGGCCCATTCCTGGAACTGGAAGTTGGGACCCTCTGTCTCATCCACTCAGGGTGCCGTGACCATGATCTAGATCAGAATTCCCTAGTGTCACCCCAGGACAGAGATGAGAGCCTAGACACAGTAAGGGCTCACATGGACAATGCAGCTGGAGGACCTGGTCCCAGGTGTCAGCCTGGCGAACACACCAGGGAGATCACTTGAGGTGGACGTGCCCATTAATGACCACGGTGTGAGAATACAGGACTCAGGCCAGAAGCCTTTCCCCAGGACAGGCCCTGCTCACTCTCAGCTCCCCATTCTTCTCTGCCCAGCAGGATTCCCAGGAGCGGGGCTTCTGTCCTGGACACTTCTAGAGATGCCTTGACCTCTCCTCCCTGTGCCCTCCTCCCCGCCAGGCAGACTCTGCCCTCAGAGCTGAGCCCCATGAGCCTGACCCAGGAGGAATCACAGGGAAAGCATTTGGGACAGTGTCTCTGAGGTGAGGTAGTCGCTGTAGTCAGATCTCTGAAGACAAGGCAATAGTGTTGGTCAGAAAAGCAGCTCAGAACACGCGGGTGTGAGGGGCAGGGGCCTTATACCCTCTTCAGAAGCCTGATGGACGCCCACAGCTGGGAAGTATGACACCACCTTAGCCCTGATGAGGAGCCCAGAAAGGAGCCAATTTGCATAAACACCAAACAGCCATGGCCCCCAAGGACCTGAGGAAATAAGAGGAGCCTGGGGAGCCCAGCTGTGCTGTGGGCTCAGAGGAGAGCTTGGGGCACCTCCATCATGGCCTGGACCCCTCTCCTGCTCCCCCTCCTCACTCTCTGCACAGGTGCTGCCCCCAGGGCTCAGCCCCACACAACCAGGGGCCAGCCTGGCCTGACCTTCAGCTCAGCACAGTGGGTGCTGCAGGGTGTAGGGCCCTCTGGAAAGGAGACCCTCAGCCTCAGGCTGACCTGTCCTGTCTTCTCTTGCAGGCTCTGTGACCTCCTCTGTTTTGACTCAGCCCTCTGCGGTGTCTGTGGCCCTGGGACAGACAACCAGGATCACCTGCCAGGGAGGAGTATTAGAAATCATTTTTGCTAACTGGTACCAGCAGAAGCCAGGCCAGCGCCCTGCACCGCTCATCTATTATAATGATGACCGGGCCTCAGGGGTCCCTGAGCGATTCTCCGGCTCCCGCTCTGGTGAAATGGCCACCCTGACCATCACTGGGGCCCAGGCTGAGGACGAGGCTGACTATTACTGTCAGTCATGGGACAGCAGTGGTGAAGTTCACACAGTGACACAGGCAGATGGGGAAGTGAGACACAAACCCCCTTCCCTGTCTGGGTCTCACTCTCCCTGCAGACCCAGGAGGACTGGGGACATAGCAGGGATGGCCCATGTCACCTGGAGCTGAGCCCCCATGCTGTCCTCTCCTCCCAGCCCTCCAGGTGGGATCTGCAGAGGGAGTGTGGGGAGTGCACTCGGGGCTGCAGGACCAGACTGCCCTGGGATTAGGGTCTGTTATTCGAGATGCAGAGAAGCGACTTGAGTGCAAGGACAGACATGAGGACACAGCTGTCCTTCACTTACTTATCCAGGGATTCCATGGTGGTCATTGGCCTTACTTTGGATCAAATATCCAGGACTAACACCTAGCCCTGTCCAGCTGGCTGAAGTCCTGACAGAGCAGCACCTTGGCATGATGGGATTCTCACAGAGCAAGCCTGTGCCGTGGGCCCTGTGGGATCTGCCCGGCCCCACTTCAGGGCTGACCCACCTCCTCTGCTGGGGGCTGTCAGCCCCTCAGAGCTGGGCCCCTTCCTCCAGTTCATGCCTCTACCCAGAGAGGTCTGGTGGTCTGGTTTGATGTTAGCCTGAGGTTCAACTCCCAGACCCTGCCTCAATTTAGGGACACCTGGAAGTCCCCCAGCTCCAGAGTTCCCTGGAGGGAAGCCAAAGTCCCTCCACTGCACCCTCCCTCATGTCAGCAACCCCTCCTGCCCTGGGCGGCCTCCTCCCTCCTTCCAAGCTGGCTCAAGCCTGCAGGTCTCCATGGGGAGTCGGAGTCAGGGAAGCCATCTGGGGGTTAGCTATCCCCACCTCGGGCATCAGGGCCTGTGGGGGCCACTGTGCACCTGAGAGATCTGCTTCCCTCCTAAATTCCCAGTGTGAACACCACGTGTCCCAGAAGATTTCTTGGTTCCCTGCATTTTTTTGGAATGAATAATGAGCCTCACATCCTAGGAGCTCCCAGTTCTCAGAGAGCTGAAGGGCAGATCAGGCTGAGGTCAATCCCAGGAAAGAGGGGCGGCTGCCCCAGCTGCTCTGTGACCCGCACCTGGGGGTGTGAGCTGCACTCCACACCCCCCACCTCCTCCTCCAAGTCTGCATACTCTGTCTCTGTCTCTTCATCCCTGACCAGAAACACAGATAGAAGAGAATCAGTGAGATTCAGGCCATCACAGTAGACACTGAGACCCCACCACAGTTCATTTACCCTTTTCAATGTGAAAACCATTCACATCTCCAAGGCCACACAGTTTACAAATCAATTTCTTTGTTGGGGGGGGGTGAGGGGTGGGGAGAGGTTTTTGCTATAGGGCACGTGTGTTTGCCAGAAAGACAGAGAGAGAAAGAGAGAGAAAGCAAGAAATCACCCTCCAGGGAGGATGGCCATGCCACAATCTCTTCTCCTCCATTCTCCCCTCTGGATCTTGGGCACGTATGCACATGTGCCCGGCGTGAGTTTAAGCCACCGGGTCTGGGACTGCAGTCGACAACATGGGAGTCCTGCGACACGGCCATCATGTCAACTGCTGGTCCCACTGTAGTCAGATCTTTGAAGACAAGGCAATAGCGTTGGGCAGAAAAGCAGCTCAGAACAAGCGGGTGTGAGGGGCGGTGGCTTATAGCCTCTTCAGACGCCCATAGCTGGGAAGTATGACACCACCTTAGCCCTGATGAGGAGCCCAGAGAGGAGCCAATTTGCATAACGACCTAAGGACCATGACCCCCAAGGACCTGAGAGAAAATAAAAGGAGCCTGGGGAGCCCAGCTGTGCTGTGAACTCAGGGGCAGAACTCGGGGTGTCTCCACCATGGCCTGGACCCCTCTCCTGCTCCCCCTCCTCACTCTCTGCACAGGTGCTGCCCCCAGGGCTCAGCCCCACACAACCAGGGACCAGCCTGGCCTGACATTCAGCTCAGCACAGGGGGTGCTGCAGGGTGTGGGGCCCTCTGGGAAGGAGACCCTCAGCCTCAGGCTCACTTCTCCTGTCCTCTCTTGCAGGATCTGTGGCCTCCTCTGTTTTGACTCAGCCCTCTGCTCTGTCTGTGGCCCTGGGAGAGACAGTCAGCATCACCTGCCAGGGAGGAGACTTAGAAAGCTACAGTGCTCACTGATTCCAGCAGAAGCCAGCCTAGCGCCCTGCCCTGCTCATCTCTTATGACAGAAACCGGGCCTCAGGGGTCCCTGACCGATTCCCCGGCTCCCACTCAGGTGGAACGGCCACCCTGGCCATCACCGGGGCCCAGGGTGACTATTTCTGTCAGGCATTTGATAGCAGTGATGACTTACCCCACAGTGGCAGATGGGGAAGTGAGACACAAACCCCTTCTCTGTCTGGGCCATACTCTCCCTCCAGCCTCAGGCGGTCAGGAGACACAGCCAGGAGCAGGGCAGGCCCAGGTCACCCAGCTCGAGTGTCATGGTGGTCTCCCAGCCCACTCAGCTGGTTGTACAGACAATACGTCATGGGCGGATTTAGGGCTCACACCATCAGTGATTTGGGAGCTGTTGAATGAGATGTCTAGACAGGATCTGAGTTGAAGGACAGACATAAGGACACAACAGTTACTGGCTCATGGTCCTTGGGTTCCCAACTGGTACAGATCTCCATCCTTGGCTCATATACCCGGGAGTGCCAACTCTGTTGAGTCCCAGGTTCCCACAGCATCACGGGACCTGAACAGAGCAAACCAGTGTCCAGTGCTCTGTGGGATCTCCCCAGACCCCTCTTCAGGGCTGACCCACCCACCCAACAGTGCAGAGAGCTCTGGCAGCTCAGCGCTGGGTCCTTCCAGGAAGATGCTGGTGTTCCAGAAACCTGCCTCCCACAATTCCTGCTCGTCCCTAGAGAGGTTTGGTTTGATGACAGCCTGCGGCCAAGATCCCAGTCCCTGTCTCAATGCAGGACCACCTGGAATTCCTCCAGGTCCAGAGCTCCCTGGCGGGAAACCTGGAGACCACCTTGCACCCTCCCTGCAGGTCAACATCCTCCTGCCCTAGGCGTCTTCTTTTTTCCTCCCAAGTTGTCTTGAACCCGCTGGTCCCCATGGAGAGTCAGCTTCAGGGAAGCCATCTAGGAGCCAGCTGTCCTCACCATGGGCATCAGGACCTGTCGGGCCACTGTGTACCTGAGAGCTCTGTTTCCCACTTAAGTTACAAGCGCAAATGCTGAGCATCCCAGTAGATCTCTTTGTTGCATTTTTTTTTTCCTGGATATAAAAAGATCCTCACATCCTAGGAGCTCTGGGTTCTGAGAGAGCTGAGAGATCCAGGCTGAAGGTGAACCCCGGGAAAGAGGAGCCCCAGCTCCAGCTTCACTGTGAGCCACAGACACACACCTGTTGCTGTGAGCTGCACACGCACACCCTCTATCTCTACCTCTGCACACTCTCTTCACGCCTGACCAGAGACTCACATGGAAGTGACTGTGAGATTCAGCTCAGCCTGGCACATTGGACACTCAAGTAGCCACCACAGTTCACACTGTCAGCATGAAACCCTCTCACATTTTACTAACCTCACACTCTCCTCATGAAGAGTTTCCAACAATAACAGCAGCCATGGAAATGTTTGTAAATACCTCACACGTACTTTTATAGCAATCACATTAAAAACGACTTTATCTTTGATGTATAGGTTACATAAAATACACTCTTTAAGCTAATGCACCTTGATTTTTTACATCCACTGTGCTAACTGGACATCAGGACTCATCTGAGGCTCAGGTGGGGTCGTTACTGCACAGAGCTGGTCTGGACCCTCAGGTGACGGGGCTATGGAGGAACCTGGTGCAGGGAGTCCTGTCTCCACCCCTTGGGCACCAGTTTAACCTGAAGGGAGGTGCTGGTGCAAGAGACATGGAGACAGGGCAGTGACCTCTCAGATGGTGCACGTTTATGAGCCCAAGGCTCTGCTTCTGTTCCATCCTAGATCCTCCCCCCCCCTCCTAGCAGTCACTGCTGACCTCAGGACATGAAGTGTCCCACAGTTCTGTATGAGTGTTTAGTCTGTGTCCTCAGTTTTCCTGTACCTACCAAAGCCCAGAATACACCAAGAAATGTTGTTAAAAAAAATACAGAATTCTGAGGCCATCAGGTGCTGCAGTGGTTGGGGTGCTGGACTCCCACATGGCCGACTATAGTTTAAGTCCCGGACCTGATGGCATGCTTTCTCATTTTCCCTTTCTCTCTTTCTCTACCTCTCTCTGGTCAAATTAAACATAATAATAATAAATAAAATAAATAATTCTTTTAAAAATACATAATTCAGTACTGCATGTCAAACAGGTGTATTCCCATTTTGATGACAGCCTGCGGCCAAGATCCCAGTCCCTGTCTCAATGCAGGACCACCTGGAATTCCTCCAGGTCCAGAGCTCCCTGGCGGGAAACCTGGAGACCACCTTGCACCCTCCCTGCAGGTCAACATCCTCCTGCCCTAGGCGTCTTCTTTTTTCCTCCCAAGTTGTCTTGAACCCGCTGGTCCCCATGGAGAGTCAGCTTCAGGGAAGCCATCTAGGAGCCAGCTGTCCTCACCATGGGCATCAGGACCTGTCGGGCCACTGTGTACCTGAGAGCTCTGTTTCCCACTTAAGTTACAAGCGCAAATGCTGAGCATCCCAGTAGATCTCTTTGTTGCATTTTTTTTTTCCTGGATATAAAAAGATCCTCACATCCTAGGAGCTCTGGGTTCTGAGAGAGCTGAGAGATCCAGGCTGAAGGTGAACCCCGGGAAAGAGGAGCCCCAGCTCCAGCTTCACTGTGAGCCACAGACACACACCTGTTGCTGTGAGCTGCACACGCACACCCTCTATCTCTACCTCTGCACACTCTCTTCACGCCTGACCAGAGACTCACATGGAAGTGACTGTGAGATTCAGCTCAGCCTGGCACATTGGACACTCAAGTAGCCACCACAGTTCACACTGTCAGCATGAAACCCTCTCACATTTTACTAACCTCACACTCTCCTCATGAAGAGTTTCCAACAATAACAGCAG